GCGGGGGCGGGGGGGCCGGCTGCCTTATCGGCAGGGCAGGGCGCCGGCGGTGGGGAGAGGCCGTTAGAGCTGCGCAGATGCCTCGGCCTTTATCTCTGCGGCTCGTTGTTGGAGAACAAAGAGGATCAATTAAGCGTGTGCAATTATTGCTCTTTCTCTGCCTTCGCTAGGTGCGCTTTGAGAGTCAAACCGGAATGCCTTTCTCCCCGTAGCTCTCCGAGTGTTCTCCCCAGTTAATCTGTGGCATCTTGGCGTTTGGGCTGAGTACTTGAACCTGGTCTGAGACGGGGAAAAAGGCCGCGTAGCACTGACGAGCGCAATACACGTTTAAAAACCAGCCGGTTTAGTGCGTTAAACACAACCTGAAAGCGAGAAAATAGAGACTACAGCAGATGTGCCCTTGAAAGTCTTCCATAGGATTCTTTTCAGCGGTATAGTAGAATGGATCGGAAGCGATGCACAGCTGGTATTTCGTTTTGCCCTGCTTTTGCATGTCTCTCGGTTGCATTTGAATAATTGTTTTTGTTACTGTCGCCTTTTCAGCATTTGAAAAAATAAAGGAAAAAAATAACGTGGCCCTAATAAATTCTGCTGTCAGTATCAGCATGATTGATGCATGTTGTAGTCATCCGTGCTAATAGGTAATGCTCTGAGACTATTTCATTTTACAGCATCCTGGAGACAGTTAGTAATTAAATTTCTCATCAGCCTGTAAAGAGGTAAACAGTAGCACGTTTCTGCCCAGGCTTTGCGAAGTGTCAGGGTAGTTCTGCCAGTTTAAATGTGACTATCCACCTACTTAAATACTTTGCAGAGTATGTGCCTTCGTAGATTAGCAAATTGAGGTGAGGTTAACCAACTTGCTCAAGGTCATGGAGTGTCAGTGACAGAGTTAGCAATAATGGAATCCAGCCATCCTGGCTGCTGGGTCTCTGCTCTAATCATTAGATGACTCTCACAAATAATTGCAGGTAGTTTAAACATTGGTTTGCGTAAGCGCGTGTTAAGGCCTTCAGAAACTTTTGGAGAAAATAAATGTTGATAGATCTGCTTCAGTCAGATCTTAGGCTGTGTTTGCATGCAGCTTAAAGTAATTGCGACTGCTTGACATAGGAGGGATTTTTGAATAAGACTTGGTGGCTTATTTTGTAAATATGTGCTCAAAAGGCATCAATTTTATCGAGTATATGGTGTAGAAAGGCTTATTGTGTAGATTTAGAGGGTAGATCATGAGATATAACAAAAATAGATCACACTGTAATTAAGACAATATTTAAAAGGAGAACGTGGAGACTGTGACTGTAAAGAGGTTATCTTCTGAATAAAGTGTTTACCAAATGACATTCTGTAGAGTTATTTGCAGTTGTTAGGAAAAAAACCCCACCCAACCAACAAATGCACTCGGAAGCCATGGTGATGAGGCTGTTGGAAGTTAAAATGGGAACAAAAAACTTCCTCACTTGATTTACTTTTTCAGCAGATACTTGTTAAGTAAAAACAAATCACCATCGGTGTTATTTCTGACCCTAGGGAGAAGTTATGTTTCACTTTGTGTTTTTCTCTGTCGAGTTAAATTTATGAAGAAAGGGATTTCAAAGGAAACGCTGGCAGATCTGTGCTATTGTGACACCAGCAGTATATATTTAGTAACTTCAGGGGGGGAAAGATCCTTATTGTGCTAAAAAAAAATATCGGTGACAATTGTTTGTCTGGACTTCAAAGAGCATTGGAAAGCAAGCTGGCGTTGTTCAGGTGTTACGCTTTGGCCCGTGTCCTGTCGTGAGCATTACATTTGACAGATTCCTGCACCTGCGGGGGGGTTCGTTGGCGGTACTAGGAGCAGCCCATCTGCGCAGTGCAAGTCACAGACTTGAGACTGCAGTTCTTGGGTTTGTACAGATTTGTTTGTGCTTATCTTTACATTCCCCGAGTAGTCGTGGTGACTGTTGACTCTAAAATTCAGTGGCCGTGGTGAGGATCTGCTGCGCTGCAGCGCACAGCGTAGAAGAGCGGCAGCCAGCTTTCTTTTAAATGAAGTGGCTGCGGTGCCGAAGGCAGCCAGCTGCGTAGCCGCCTTCTGAACATATACAGGAGTGCTGCTTTAGGGTTAATCTGTGCGGAGAACTTCTGATGATACAGACTTTCTCTCTAAAAGTCTTAACAGTTTGTTGTTGACAAGTGCTGTGTGAAACGTATGCTGTTATTAATGCTAAACCATCAAATCTCCCCAGCGTATGTATAGTTTATAATGCGGTCTTTGGGAAAAGTACTTTTACTGATATTACTTGGTGAGATAGCCCAGCAAGGTGACTTCTAAGCCAAAGTGGTTGTCTCAAAAAGGATGCTGGTTGCTTGCTTAGAAACCCAGAAATTTATATCCTGAATGACACTGCAGTGTCAGAAAACGTGTCTACTGTAGGCCTGGGTTTGCCAGACCTACTTTTGCCAGTTTGAGCCATAACTTCTCATCCAGCCAAGTTAAATAAGAAAAGGAAGCAATAACGGGGTATACGTTTTTAAGATTGGCGGCCTTCTGCCTGCAAGTTGTGGAATCCTGGGAGGTTTGCGCACTGTGTTTTCAACGGATGCATAAGAAAAACGAGCCTGCTAATAGGCTTAGTGATCCATACCTCAACTGATGTCGTGATTTGTGGGTTTTCTGGATACCTAAGCACTTGTCACTGGCCGAGCTGAAGAAACTGGAGTTGTAGTATGATGCCAGGAATCAGAATGAAGCCTGTGCAGTGTTTAAATAAAACCCCAAAGCATCAAAATAATATTAATTATTATAAATAATATTTTAAAAATTTTATTAAATATAGTCACTTAAAAATATCTAGCCGTAGTTTGATATTGGTTGTATGGTAGTTTAAAACATTTATTAGGGAAAAAAACATTTTGTTAACTTCAAAGACTGCCTATATTTCTGTTACACATAATGTATGCAGTATAGATATATATGAGAACCAAAGGTTCTCCCATATGCTTACTGCTTACTGCGTACTGCATTGAGCTAACTTGTGTAAGTAGAAAAAATTTAAAAAATAAAATTCTTAATTCTTAAGAAATAATGCTTACACTTGCTGCACAAAGTGATTCCGGAGTTTGTTAATTCTTCCGAAACAAAAGGGATTGACCGAAACTCTAAGAAGCACTTGGAACCCAAAGTGCCACTTACAGAGCCATTTCTTTTTCTAGACTCTTCTTAATAAGGTAGCAGAACATCAACTTGGAACACTATCGTTGGGGATTTGTTTTCAGAATATTATTAGTAGCATTTCAGTGAAGTGGAAACAAACCTGTGCTCTGAAAAGAAACTGGATCTTGGGGAAGTACATTCCAGTAAGAGCCATGAATTTAAATTTTACAGGGATCACTTGCTATTTTAAAAAATAAATAAATTTAAAAGCTTAGTTTGTGAATAAGAATCAGAACCTGTAAATCTGAAGATGTGACAGATCTAGTAAACACCTAAACTTGTGTCATGTTTCAAGTATGAAACATGTATCTGGTGGTTGGAAATGTGAGCATCGTGATGTTTAGAATGTAAAAATAAGCATTTGTTTTTGATTGTTCATAATGCTAGGGCTGTTTCCTGCTAGAAAGTTCAGAAACTAAATTTCTCAAGGTGCAAGCAAATCAGTTTATTAGACTGGAGAACAGCTGAAATGGACGTTGTTTTATAAAGCTTCATTGGAAGTGGAAATTACAGCTAATGAGTCAGTAGGAACTTTTGTTCTTTAATATTTTCTACTACAGAATAAAGTTAAGCCTCAAGGGACACCTTCAGTTTGATAATTAACCTATAGGAGCTGCAGTAAAATATGACGTTCTTGGGGGGGGGGAAAAATGTACGTAGCTGCTTCGCTTTGTTCTGTCTGTAGTGTGTAAAGTCAATGGTATGTGTGCTGAAGAGTCTGGCCTTAATTTTATTTTATTAAATATGTTTGGGATTGTTGCTTGATTGGGTCACGGGTTCTGGTTTTAGTTCTGGAATGTCACTCAAAACAAAACTGAGGGGCAGCAGAGGGAGAATTGCGATGGTTGTACTTTGGTTAGAGACAGTGGTGGTAGAAAACCTGTCTTATTTTTTAATCAAATAGTAAATCCCAAATCTGTTTGGTATTATTCCTCCCAGTTATTTTTCAATTTGTTGTCTGCAACTACCATGCAATTGTAACAAGAGTTTAGTTTAAACAAGGCATGAAGGTGTTCCCCATTCTTTTGTTCTGAATCTCTGGGATTTGACATACCTCAGTGCCTATGTGAGCAGATACCTAAGGTGTTACACCTCATCCGGGAAGGTCAGCACTGCAGAGAGATTCCTGCCTAAATGGTGACTACTGCTGCCTTACGTCTTTGTGTTTCCTCATTTCTCTGGTTTTTTTCAAGTGTTAGTGTTCTGAGGCAAGGATGGGATATCTTTTTGTTGTTGTTTGGCTTGTGTTGCAAAGACCTAGCAGAAGCAGCCCTTGTCATGGAGTGGGACCCCAAAATGCTGCCATGATACGCTGAAGGAATGCTTATCTATTTATTTTATAGCAGTTTGTTAAATAGATGGAAACCCGATGCGAATATTTTTTCTATTTCCATATTTTTGAAAGAACTTAAGTAAAAGTAGATTCATAACCAAGCATCAAGTTCTGTATTTTTACACCTTTGTTGACTGCCTCAGTTTAGTATAGACTTATGGAAATAATCTTCTTGCCTTTTCTCTTTTTTCCCCTTTTTTCCTTTAGAATTGCCAAAATGCTTTGGAATTCTTAAACGATTCAAAAACTGAAGTCTCTGAGGATACAAAATCATAAGAACACAAGAAGCAGCAAGGAGGATTCAGTGCCAATGCAGCAACAAAAAAGACAGCCAGAGTTAGTGGAAGGAAATCTTCCTGTTTTTGTTTTTCCTACAGAACTTATATTTTATGCAGATGACCAGTCAACACACAAGCAGGTGTTGACTCTATATAACCCCTATGAGTTTGCCTTAAAATTCAAAGGTGGGTTTCTTAGGTTAAGTTTTATTTAAGGGTTAGTTGAACAGTCCAATTATAATTCATGTAACAAATCATATTTGTGACAAAACCAAACTCGTGTCTTTACATATATCTGTTGATGAAGTTGGTGAGGTATTAATTCATGATTTGTTACCACTACTGTCCTTTTCGTTGCAGTTCTTTGTACAACTCCAAATAAATATGCGGTGGTTGATGCTACTGGTGCAGTGAAGCCTCAGTGCTGTGTTGATATGTAAGTAAAAGTTTGTTGTTTTTTTTTAATAATGTATGACACTTGATTACCTTAATTTCTTTTATTATTTAAGATGTAGTAAATGACAGCATGCATGGTATCAACTAAGTTGGATAAAGATATAATATTTTCCTAATCTGTTGTATTCTTGTGGCCATCTGGTCTTTGCTATTCTTTCACTCTAGGGCAGAGATATTACAATATTGGAGATATTCCCTTCTTTAATTTTGTCTTTAGGCATAAATAAAATGCTAGTAAATGCATCCTGTAGTATAGCTTGTAAACCAGCAGTGAGAGTAATATGAGCCTCCTCTGAGTACTTTTTTGTTATTTCTAACAAGAAAAGCAAGGTCCCCAGGATTGGGGTTTCTTTGTGAGAAACATTTGTTTGCAGATGGGCAAAATGAAAATGCATGCAGTTCTACTGAGCACACTTTCCTGGGCTACGTTTTACAAAGGTGCTTTTGCCTACCTTTCACCCCAACCACCTGTCTCATTCTCAGGTATCTCGGTCTCCCCTTTACTTGTTTCTCCTGTCAGGTCCCAACCCAATAACAGAGAAAAAGATGAAGGCCAGTTAAGTGACCCCAGTAATGTATAGGGTCTGTAGGCTGCTATAATTCAACGTAGAGTAGATACATAAGCTACAATAGCTCAACTTTTTTCATCTGCCATTTGCCACATTATTTCTGTGCTGATGTACAGATACAGCTAAAGAAAGAATGAAGTACCTAAAAGAGCAGACTGAGCTTTCTGACTAGAAATTCGCAAACTGTAAAACAGCTTCTGGAATCTCTGGCTAAAAACCCTGCTTTTGAATGATCCGTCTTTTGTCAGATAAATAATACCGTGCTTGGGGAATGGCTCTTTCCTGTAGACTGTTTTCTTTAGGTGTAATTTGGAAAATTCCAAGAACTCGCCAAATAGAAAGAAATTTTAAAACACGGAACTAAAATTTTCAGTGGGCAGGGGCAACGATCCTAAAAATGGAACAAAACAGGTCAGAATATACCAGAATATCAGCGAGCTATTCCAGTCTTTAGCAGACATTTACGTAAGCCTGATTACATTTGGTTCATCTTAAACAAATGTCTTTTAATAAATAAAGGAAAATAAGACCATATGCATGTTTCCAAGGGAATTTTTTGTGCAGCAAACCCCCCATCCCATTCCCATGGTTGCTGTCTAAGGGCAGTGTTTACTGCTAGGATATGAGCAGTACTATGCGAGTATGGCCATTTGCCAGATAAACAGATATTCTACAGAGCTTCCAATTATGCAATGGTCTCTAAAAAGAAACAGGAGAATGTATCTGTTTATAAGGGTCTGCAGAAAACATCTCTTTGCTTGGCAGCAGACACATGTTCTCATAGCACAGTGTTATGTAAAGATTCTGTTTAGGTTGGTAGTTAGTACCGTGGTACTAAGAGTAGAAACAAAAATTTAAAAGGAAGTGTTAAAGGAAGAAATAAGAGTTGAATCTGCTGTTCCAATTTGCTGAGAGTTGTATGAATTAGGATTGTCAGGGGGAAAAAGCCTTTTGTTTTAGTGAAGGCAGTTGCCCAGCCAACACTCAGCTTGCTGAAAGCCTGTCATAAGCCCACTCTTTTGCCTCTAAAGTGACTTAAAACTGTGTACATTCCCGCTTGGGGGATGACTTAGTCTCTGTTTCCTTGTTGAATAGTCTGTTCAAACTAGATACCAGTTACAAGCACTGGCTATGTGTTAATGCCTATAGGTATCTTGATGTGATGTAGTTCCTTTAAATGAAGACTGAAACACAAAAATCTGTTTCTTGCAGCAGTTTAACATATATATTATCACAAAGATAGGTTTCTTGAAGCAATTTTAAGACCGCTATCCTGTATTACTAAGGGTAGAATAATTTTTTTCCCCTCAGGAGATGACAGCCTTCTTGAAGCCAAATCACTTACATGTAGGTATTTTTTCAGATTAGCTATTGTTATCTTAGAAATTTAGAATAGCCTTTCACAAAAGAAGTTTTCCACTTTGGAAAGTAATTAATATCCGTATGAACCCTGATATGACTTCAAAACCTAAATGTTACAGCTTTTTAATGCTAGATATGTATTTTCATAATGAATCATAAATGCAGAGAGGAGGCAGTTGAGCAGAGCACTGCTCAGAGGTCTGTATCGCCTTTGATCAGTGTTATTTTAAAACTGTGCTTTTTGTAGGTCCCACATACAATTTTTTCCATTAAATGCCATAAAACTAGAAGGAATGCAACAACTATCACCCCGTCTTACTGTTGAAGCCATCTTGGTCAAGGTATTCAAAACAGCAGAGCAACAGAGTGGCTGCTGGACAGTGAGAAGGCTTACTGAGAAAATAACTGACTCTCTAGCTATGATTCAGAGAGTATGTCTATGCTGCAGTCTGAGTTGTGATTGCAGCTTGTGTAGCTACACCAGGTCTAGCTCTTGGTAGCTAGTGAAGTATCTGCAGCATCATGCATTTCAGTGCAGGCTACGAAATCTGCTCGAGATAGCTAGATAGGTGAGCAAAGCTCTGGCAGCACAGAGCTTTACTATTGATACCCAGATTTACTCACTGCAAGACAGGTGAAAAATGTTTATGTAGATACATAGTTGTCATTTTTACTGCACTGCTACATGCTCTTAATGGTGGGCTTCTGATTTTGAAAATCCCTTTACATCTAGCTGAGTCTTGACTGTAGAGGGAATGAGTTTTGCTTCTGAGAAAGTACAATTGTAAAGCTCTCAGCCTGGTTTCCTCAAAAAGCTAGACTTTTGTCATCATCTGTCCAAGCGTTTGGCAGTCTTCCTTTTCTTCTTTCCTTCCCTGTCCACTCCAGACCCCCCCCATACCTTTTAAAATCATTGGCCAGCATCAAACAACTTCGATAAAGAAGGCATCTTTCAGATAATTGATGTTTCATGCAAACTGGCAGTTAGGCCGCAGATTGAGGCGAAGGTGTGCTTGAGATAAATAATTAGCTGTTCTTTTTGGCCAGCCAGTTGGAGCAGATATATTTGAGAACCAAAGCGAACAGAGGGAGAGGAGAGAGAAGGCAAGATCAAATCTTCAAGAACGTTGAGTGATGGAGGAGGGAATGGGGATCTGTACTATTGCGGTGTATCTGTGTATGGGGAAAAGAGGGGAAACATCGGGATGTAGGGCGCAATTCCACAGGAGACATGCTTTTTATTAGTTCTGCTGTCTGAAAATGTTGTTTTCCTCCACAGTGTGATTCGTCACAGAGATGTTCGGGCTTCTTACTACGGCGTGATAGATAAATTCCGTCTACAAGTGTCTGAGCAAAGCCAGAGGAAAGCATTAGGGAAAAAGGAGATTATTGCTACTCTACTTCCATCTGCAAAGGAACAACAACAACAAAAGGAAGAGGAGGAAAAACGAATAAAAGAACACCTGGCTGAAAGTGTCTTTTTTGAGCAGACTTTGTGTCAACCAGGTAGCTGAAATCTTTTACCCCTCCTGTCTTCTGAATCTCTTACGAATAGCTCGAGTGACTAGAAAGCCTAGACTAAAATAAATTTTAAAGTAATTCTTTTTACTTACCTGTAAGACTGCTGTCTTTATCACTGGGGAATGGTAGTGCTCAAGAACCCAAACTAGGGCTGTTCTGCTTATGCTGTCCTGATTAATCAAGACCCTTTGCTGCCCCAGGTTTGCATGTCATACCTCAGAGAGTACATCCCCTGTTCCTCTGGTGCAGAGTTCTGTTACAGCCAGTGGAAATTCATCTGCAAAAGGATGGTAGTTATTTTTTCCCTTGGGCTCTTTCAGAACATATGCCCCTTCCGACTTTGTTCCAAACCCTTAATCCTCCATTTCCTGATGAGCAGGAAATATTGCCAAAACATCTTCTAAAGTGCTCCTTGTTCTGCGCCATCTCGTTTGTCTGTCTCACGAGTACAGAAAGGCACAGTTGCTAGCTAAAAACTCTTTGCACGTTTCATACGTGAGGAAGTGAATCAACAGTCTTGGGCAAAACCTGGACCGAACAGTTAAATTGAAGCAGTAGGGGGAGATATAAAAAGTACCAAATTTTACTGAACTGAATCTAAACTGATTCTTGACTTCGCAGTCTACGTTCTTGTCACTTTTACTGATTTATACTGTAGTATTCTTGCCACTGTTTTATTTTTCATGACAAGAACAAAAATCAATTCCAGAAAACGGATGAACCTGCTTGAGAGTGTTCCTCTTGTTAAAACCAAACTGTTTCAGTATTTATACATAGCTTGTTGGCTGGTGAAATACCTGTTACTAAGAAAACCCTCAAGATAGGTATTAGTGGGCTACATGGCTAAAGCACACCTACAGGATCTCTGGGCTCACAGAACAAAATGTTACTATGATAGTTGTTCTGGTACACAGGGTTTGCGCCATCCTGAACAATCTGATACTGGTCTTAATCCAAATGCTATTTCTCTGCCTCAGAGCCTTGTTGACTACATTGTATGGCTTGCTTACAGAAAAACAGTAAACAAAGCACCTACAGTCTTTGCATATAACCTGCAACCTAGAAAGAACAGATTTATGGAATTAAAATAGGACACATATTGCTAGTCACTGAGGATAGAAAAACTCGATAAAAACATTGGCTAATTTCCAAGGGGCCTTAAGAATTTGGTTAGAGGTATTCAACTAACATGTTAACAGCTCTTTTCAAAGATTACACAGCCTGCCTTTGAGTAGCTTCCAGCTGTTAAACTGCAGCGCAATAAAGAGCATGAAGGACAGTTCGTCTATCATTTGCATTTCCTTATTCTGGTGATATTGGACTGTCAGAATGGTTCACTCTCACAGTTTTTAAAGTAAGATTCAAATATTACAAATTTGTGGCATATAAACTAGTTCTGGCAGGTGCAGCCCTTGAATCCTCTAAAGAAGGAAGGAGAATGCATCTGGCCTGCGAACCTTTAGGTGCTCTTTCCTAATTGATTGCTAATCACTGAAGGAAGATATCAGGGAATGGAGTCAGGATGCATGGTGAAACCTCAAGCGTTGCTGAGACATCCAGCTGTCACGAGTGTGTATATATAGCTACTGGGCCTGGCAGGCGCTGTTCCTCCAGAAGGGAGGGGTTTGGGAAGTCGTGTGAAAACAAGTTCCTGCATCAGAACAGGGAGCAGCCTCCTCCACTGCACAATGCTGCAGAAGGTTTGGGGGGGGGGGGGGGGTT